CAAATTTAAATTGTAATTATAAATAAAAGAAAAAAATTTCTGTTAAAGTTTTCCTTGTTTTTGACACAATAGTTTTTGTTATTTGTATTATTTTTATCAGAAATAATTTGAACAAATTTTATAAAATTATAATTGATTTTGTGATTAAAAAATATTTTATTATCAAGTATAATGTTTCTATTTTTAAGAACATTTGACCTAATTCACTTTAGTAAGTTTTGTTGTGTTAATTATTACATTTTCTCTTTTTTCATCGTCTATAAGCATTATTGAACAATATAACGTTACTGGCAGTGAAAAGTTTTTTTTATTGATTTTACATCATCGTGTAATAAAATTTCAATCTCTTAACTTTTCTTTGGATTTAAACATACAAAAAATTATCTTAGTGGTATACTTCGATTGACAAAACTATGTTGATTTTGTTCAATTTTTGAAATAGCTTAGTTGAATTACTATTGTTCATTCATAATTTATTAATCAATTTGCGGATCACATTATATTAAAATCGAAATCAGCACCTAAAAGAACTACAAAAACGTTTTTATCATCAGATGTAAGTCCTACAAAATATTTATCCAATTATAATTTCACGCAAAAAAAAAAAAACAATGAATGTCCTCCAGCTAATGGATAAAAAGTGTTGGATTGCGGGGTTATTGAAGTTTGAAAGCCTCAGTTGTATAACTTCTTGAAGTTTTGAATTTCGCGCTGAGGACCCATACCGCATTTTGGGTACACACGGGACATGTAATATAAGGCCCACGGCCAAGGAGCTGAGCCGAGACTCGTTTACTTGTGCGGCGTCGTGATGTTGCTGTCAGACTCTCTCTCCCTCGCCTAATCTCCGCCCGTGCCATATATATACTCGGTGTGCTCGCATTGTTCTCTAGTATAGTGAGCAGCAGACGCAAAAGGCTCACCGGCCATCGAGGTGTAAAGACAATCGTACATTTGTTTCGCATCCTTTGGAGTTAAACGAGCCGTAACATCGATATTACTGGATACATCGTAACTGGGAATAGCTGCAGGTATCGTCTGAGGTAGGAATACTTGCACGTGATTCGCGTACCTGCTTATCTTTTCATTTAAACCAAAGCGATTACCTGTCGAGCCATACTTTTACGCGGGTTTTGAACAATGCCACTAGCACTGTCCCCTGATGGGAGCTGTGCTGTTAACTTGGGAAGGAGTTTTAGAGCGCGCTTTTCTATATGGCTCTGCTCAAAGAGAATTGTTTAGTAAAATTGTGAAATGATTTTTAAAAATTTTTGCTCAATGACAAATAAGTGATGGCTATTGCAGTTATATTAACACAATTGTTCTTGTTCACATACTATTACTTTCAAAGTTGCCGGATAATAGAAAACGTGTATGCGTCAGTATTCAGTTATAAGGTCTTTAATAACATTTGTTTATATTATGTAGAATTTCATTGTAGTTAAAAAAAACTTATTTTACGGATCCACCTTTGAATTATCT